TATGTGAGGGTTGTTTAATTCTTGCACATCCCCCACCACCTGGACTTGGATGACACAGAAAGTTATTGCTTGAATGTTTTTTTAAAAACCCTACCTGATACATGGAAACACACACTGGCATATACAGCACTGTGGCTTAAGCACGCCATGGTAAGCTGTAGGGATCATGCAAACCAGAACTCTAAGTAATCATGGACTAAACAACACATGGTTAATTTAAGAACTACTGATAGGTTACTGTGGGCTATTTAACTCACAATTGATTCACAGCATCTGGGATCACACCTCACAAACTAATCTTTGTGCACCTCGATTGGAGCTTGCATATTCAAAATGGGATTGACATGCATATGGAATATTTTATGTGTGAACAAGCCAAATGTAAATCAACAATACCTCCACTGAAGTCACAATAGTGAGTAGAGAAATGCAGACCTGGGAAGTGAATTTATTTGGCTTACTCTAAATTTAGAGACACTTTATAATTCTTTACTGAAACCCAGAGACTTGCCAAAAGACACTCCCTTTCCCCACAAAATTCAAGCACAATTTGGATCACAATGCTTTTGACTGTACCCTGTATTCCCCAAAGGTGTCAACCTAATATGTGGTTTATGAGTCAATGACCAGAACAAGGAAGCCCAGCTTCTGCATGTGTATCTGAATGTAGCAGCATTCAAAACATATCATCCCAACCTCTGAGAAAACTGTGAACAGTATTTTTCAAACCACTAGTTCAAGGTTTATGTTTTCAGAACAGACAGTTAAGTATCAAGTGATCCGCAAGGATTTGCTACCTTCTTTTTATGCTATTAGCATCATAGACTTGAACAGCTTTACAGTAAGTGCAAATACCTTAGCTAGCATAATAGTTTCCATAAAGTTCAGTGAATCAAATCAAAATGGATAGGTTCCCTTTCTATTTATTGAATCCATTTACCACAAATATACTTAACTCTTTACTATTTTTGCACCAGTCTGGAGATATTTTGGGCACTTCTGTTACATAGAAATGCATGCTTGGAATTCCCACAGTGATGGAGAAGAAGATAATGTGGGCACTGGGGGAGACGCAACAAACCAAAACGATTCTGCTCTTGTTGATTTGCAGGATTTGGCTCACCCTTTCTAGATCAGTGGTTTTCAACCACCGGTCCACAGGCCAGCACCAGACTGCAGGAGATTTCCTGCTGCTCCATTGGGGGGCGGGGGACATCCTGCTTGCTGTGGACCTGCACAGGGGTTGGCAGTGCTCCATCACCTCTTCCTTGGTTGGCATAACATTCGTGGGGGGGGGGTCAGGGAGGGGAGACACAGCTCAGTAGGAGCTGGCTGGGAGCCATACCATGCTGATTTTGGAATTTTGTTCTTTGGTTGGCATTTTTGTCACTCGATTTCTGGTTGTTTGAGAATTTTTTTTTTTCTTCTGGTGTTGTCTTTGGCAATTAATACCCAGAGTACTGTATTATGCGTAGGATGCTTTTTGTTTTTGGCTCTGTGGTCCCCGAGGTGGTTTTCCTGTTTTTGCTGGACCCCAATTGTAGAAAGGTTGAAAACCACTGTTCTAGACAATGAATGCAGCTGGGAATGATGATGGTGTTTCCCTCTACGCTCAATCTATGCACATTAATTGTAAGGTCTGAAAGCATCCCCCTGTGTCCAACTGTATACACAGAAGGGTTTCCTGAATGATCAAAAGCCCAGTTTGACCACCGTGATGACACTCCCCCTCTCCAAATGCACATCCATGGAATGTCGGTAAGGAGCTTTCCCAGTTCATGACCAACCTGGTGCCCACTAGTTGTGTCGGTCTACAGCATCCATCTTATTCAGTCAATTGCTCATGTAGGCATTGTTTTCAGACCTTACACCGAGTGCATATGGGTTAGGAAAAGAGTCTGATTGCCGCATTGCCGCATCCCCCAGCAGGTTCTCACTGATGGCTGTCTGAAAAGTGATTCATCAGCTGAAACACTTTGCCTTTTTGTACACACTATAAATGAGCATCCTTCCTGCTTACAGTAAATGTATGAATACTGGTAAGTGTAATAAACGACTGCTTAAAGCAGCCTTCCCCAACCTAGCATCCAGCAGATGAGATGTATAACAATTCCCAGTATCCCCATCAGTCCTGCCAGGTGAGGGGTGTTGGGATTTGTACTCCCACACATCTGGAGGGCACCAGATTTATTTATTTATTTATTTTCTGAGGATCTCTGGAGAAGAGAGAAGGTTGGAGAAGGCTGGCTTAAAGAAACATTCATTTAAGAGCGGCAACCAGAGCACTGACAAGAAGCTATTTCATTTCAGATTCTGAACGCTGAGTCAATTCCCAGCTGAGCAGTTTCAGTTAACTTCTCTGGCTCTCAGTACATAAAGTAGCCCATTGAAAGACAGGAATGATCAAGAGCTCTGAGCCAGACTGGTACCTGATTTCTGAAACTCTGCTTGCAGTACATTTGTAGTGATGGGCACAGAAAGAGCCCTGAAACCATTTGTGTACTTTAAAAGCCTCACTTAGAGCTGCAACTGCGTACTTAACTATTCGAAGAGAACGTGCAGTTGTGATGGCTGCTCTTTGGTTTCCCTGGTTCTATGATGTCCATTTAAGGAAATGAAAAAAAAGATGTAAAATATGCAAATCCCTTTACATAGCTTCCAACATGCCTTTCACTTCCATTTCTTTTCGGAGTGTCAGTTTCTTAATGCACAAACTTTCCCAAAGCCTCTGACAACAGAATATAGGGCTAGGCGGGATGTCTGCAGAACTGTCTGTTTAACCCTGGATCTGCCACAATCCCATAGAACGCTTCCCGAGATGTCATGCATAAGGGACGGCATATAAAAGTTTTAAATAATAAAACCCAGAGTAGGGCCTGGTCTGAACTGAAAAAAAAAAAATGGGTGTGCAAGTCAGAAATGCTAACTTCTGCTTTCTCTCATACATGCCACCCACACACAACTCCTGCCAACCCCTACCCAGGTGCTTTCCACCCAGTTTTATTCATTGGCAGCAGCATTTATGTCCAACCCTTCTTACATTGTGGTGCTCAAGTTGGTTACATGGGGTTCCCAATCAAGCTGACCAGAACTGGGAACTGACCTGCTTGGCTTCGGCAAAGTGGCTGACTCATGTGCTTTCAGATGATGCCCTAGGGCCAGACTAAACTGGTTCCCTCTCCTTCCCCCTCCTGAGTGTACCTGCTTCTCTGCAGTGCTTCCCGGTTGTTCCAGCTCCCACAGAGATTTTTATTAAATTAAAATATACAGTTTTGCTGTGATTTCCCCTTCTCTCTGTATTTTTACACTGTCTCCCTGTTTCCAAAAGTAAACAGTGAAACAGACACAGTGCTCAGCTAATAGGAATAAAGAGAGCAATGACATGTTTGTTGCTAAGGTGCTGGGGACAGAAGCGTTCAGAGGCCAGAAGGGGCCACTTCTGCAGCCATTCTTGTCAGAAGACTTGATGGTGTTTCCATACCAACAAGGTAAAATGGTAATCCTGAATCTGGAAGACTAGAGAAGCATGAAAATCTTAGAATAGATTGATGATTCTCTCTGTGGTTTCAGAACACTAATCCTACCCTGCAGGAACTCTGGAACTGGATCCAGATGACACAATAGACCCACCACAGTAAGATTTCCCCATGACTTCCTGTATCAGATGTACCTGTCCACTGTATGATTACAGTCATTAGAGACCTCTGTGGCAGGCCTTTCATTCCTTCTTTGTGGCCTGAAAAGAAATGGGAGCTGTCAGGAGACTGAAGTGTGTGTGTATTTACATTTGTCTTTGCGAAGGGAGGTTGTGAAGGGAGAATGACTCTACCTCTTCCCTCCATGACCTCAATCCATGTGGCCCCTAACAAGTTAACTCCTCCCTGAGGGAACTGAGCACTGAAAGGTAGAATGATAGCCTTCCCTGTTGTAAAACTTGCGACCTTCTTTGCAAACATCTTAAAGTCACCAAAATATATACAGTTGTGTTCCTGATTTTAGGGCTGATTATTTTTTGGAATGAATGCCAATTTCTGAAAATGTGGGATACAGTATTGGGAAGAAGCATTCCTTTTTTCATTCTTCCAAAATGTTTCTATATTTGCCATTGCTACAGTAAAGTACTGATTACATGGAACTACATATGCCTAACCTGATGATCCACATTTCTGGTGCTGCTGCATGCAGTTTTTACAATTAGTGTCTTCAATATATGACTGTGTTTCTGCAAATATGTCACATTCCAGCCGTATTTTTTCCAATTAGGTGTCAAACTGAGGTCATAACTACACATGTGCATTGAAATCGCACGGCATTGAAAATCTCTTCCTCTGGGGCTAAGGGGTGTTTAGCGTCTTGGAGACATTCCAACATGAGTAATGGGGAATTTATCTACCAAAATGGGTCATACAGTTGGGGGAAGGCATTCATTCTGTTAAATAAAGCTGATACATTATTGTGAGCCATATCATTCTTTTATTACAAAGCCTCCCTTAACCTTGGCCATAGCCTGCTTGCAGACAGGGCACCAAGAAATAATGTAGCTATTCTTTGTCCAAAGCCACCTTCAGCCATATTGATCTGCTTGCCATGGTGCAGGTAAGAACTCCAGGGAATTAGTCAGGGTCACTGCCAATGGCAGTGTCGGCAGGCAGTCTTAACAGAGGCTGTTTCAGAGCAGAGCTAGGTTATCAGGAGAACTCAAGGCCTAAGTCCAGGAGCTCATGCAGAGTTTTCTAGCACTTTGTGGCTATATGGTTGAGGGCTTTTAAGTTTGAGCCTTCTGTTTGAGCATAAGTACAGGCCATTAGTACCACTTTAGGAAAGGTCTACTTGTAAATTCTCATCTGCAAGTACACCTTTACCCAGCAAATGTCCTTATTCCTCAGTTGGGCACTTTTACAGCTGGCAGCTGGCTAGTCCAGATACTTTAGTTACCTGCACACTCTGGATTAAAGTGTTTGCTAGGCTTCTGCCCTTGAGTACAAGAAAAGGCTAACTACCTTGTGAGTAGAAGAGTTGACTGCTGTCTCCCCGACAGCTCAAAATCTCCCTGATCAACTTCTAGGTCCCCGAACACAGGTAGGTCTTCTACAGTATTTGGCTCAGAGGGCTCCAGGGTCATCTTCCAAAAACTAATCCTCTTGGATGGGCCATGAGACACATAAATGATTCTAAAATAGAGGAGAAAGTTTTAACTGATATCCTGTTAAGAGAACATCAAAGACAACAGGTCTGGGTTTCTTCTCATGCAAGTGCTAAGATGTTCCTGCACAAAGAACTGGGTATCTGGGACTGAGGAATTTAGTCCTGCCTGTGAGCCTGATTTGGTGCCCCAATAAAGATATTCAACATATCTCTGCGCTAATCTGATTATAAGCATATAACCAGTGTGGTTAGAGAGCCGGTGTGGTATAGTGGTTAAGAGCATGGGACTGGGACTCAGGCAATCTGGGTTCTAGTCCCTGCTCAGCCATGGAGCCAACTGGGTGACTTTGGGCCAGTCACAGACTCTCAGCCCAACCTACCTCACAGAGTTGTTGGGATAAGATGGAGGAGATGTAAGCTGCCATGAGCCCTTTGTAGGAAAAAGGCAGGATATAAATTGAAAAATAAATAAATAAATAATAAAATAAATGTTTATAACTTAGTTTTTGCCCCCAAGGCTTGTAAAGACTCCTGGCAACTTCCCACCAGACAAGCAGTGCATAGAAATAGTTACATATTTATTGAACACGTATGAATCATGTATATCAAGAAAATTTCTAAGCAATGTGCAAGGTAGTTTAATTCAAGACAAGTATTTCCTTCCTGGGGGATGCCTATGGAAAAAGGTATACTTTCAGTAAGTTTCAAGGTACCAGGTGGGTTGCCCCCACCTAATTTGCAGTGCTAAGGAATTCCTTATTATATGCCCATTGTCGTGTCCGATCCATCGCGACCCCATGGACAATATTCCTCCAGGCCTCCCTGTCCTCCACCATCCCCCAGAGTCCACTTAAGCTCAGACCGACTGCTTCAGCGACTCCATCCAGCCACCTCATCCTCTGCCGCCCCTTCTTCTTTTGCCATCTATTGTTCCCAGCATTAGCTTTTACTAAATAGGTTTCACCTTCCATTCAAGGGGTGCTGACATATAAAAATAAGTAGTACAGCTACTCTGAACATGTGACTTTAAAGTAACTTTTAAATTCTAATGGAGAGAAGCTGGAAGAAAATGTTGTAATTGAAAAGCTTGTTGTTTAGTGCTTGTTGTTTAGTGCTGTCAAGTTATCTCCAACTTATGGCAAACCCATGAATGAAAGCCCTCCAAAAAGTCCTGTCCTTCACAGCCCTACTTAGCTTTTCTGAGTTCAAAGCTGCTGCTTCCTTTATGGATTTAATCCATCTCATATTTAGTCTCCCTTCAACTTACCCTAGCCTGATTAGAGTTTGGTCCACAAGAAACAAAACACCATATTTGTGAGAATAGCTACTGCTCCTCCAGCATTTGCAACTTAAAGAACAAGTAGATATGAGTTGCAACATCATGTTCACAGATGGAAACGTGGCTTCCCACTTTGGGAATTCCCAAAGGGAAGCACAGAACACATCACATAAGAGTGCCATGACTATAGCAACAGGCTGCTAGAAAGAGGGCTGTGCGTGATACACATTTGAAGTTCTAGATCTGAAGCTGGAACTGAAATATAGAAGCAAAGTTCCAATTCTGGCTCCTGTTGTTCTACACCTTTCATAAATACAGTTTTGGGTAAGCCTGATAAATAAAACAACACAGATATGTCACCTGTAATGCTCCAGTCCTGTGATTTGCTATATCTTTTGGTATTCGTTCGCTGCACTTTGCAGCTGTCACACATGAGAGCGGTTATACACTTCCCATCCTCTTGACAAAGGCAGAGCCTGGACATCCCAGGAGATGATGAGATAAAGGAAAAGTCAGGTCCATTTGAGGTTGGGCTACTGCAGAGGAAGGCAACGCATGGTCCTCCACATGTTTTGGCTTACCACCCTATTAGCCCTAGCCAACTGGCCCACAGTGAAGAATCATGGGACTTGTAGGCTGCAGGTTGTCCAACTCTAGGCAATGAGATGCAGCAAGACGAAATGTACGTTAACAGAGATCTTCTTAAATATATTTTTTCTCTTATTAATTTCCAGAGGGGCAACAAAACAAAAACAACAAAGTCTTCCGGCACATAAAAAACTAACAAATCTATTCTGCTTACACATTCTTGAACAGCATCCACATCATCAGAGGCATGAAATATTAACCTTAAATATTAAATTGCTGAAGTATAATTTATCAAGTGATTCGGTTTTACTTCCTGTGGTTTGAATGAGAACATTGTTTTAAAAATCATGCTACATATGCTGAACGGCTCGCCATTGCAGTGATGTCTGTTCTCATCCAACAATGTTTGTAATAGCAGCTGTTACTGTTCAATTAATTATCACTGTCCAAAGTTTTAAAATTTCAGTTCTCTCTAATAACACAATATACATTTTTCCCACCTGCTCCACCTCACCTCCCAGCATATGTATATAAATCTGTCAAACTGAAGTGGCATTTCACACATCTGAAGAAGTAACAGTGGCGACAAAAGCTTAGACCAGAATAAATTTGTTAGTTTTAAAGTGCTGCGAGGCTCTTCCTTGTTCTTCCTCTTATTAATCTCCCTAATAATCATCTTCATAAGATAATTTGTATAGTTCTTTTCTTTTTCTTGACCTCTGCTACTTCTTTTAGCAATGGATCAAAACCCTTCATGTACATACTTGCTGCCTTGAAAAGGAGGCAGAATTAAAACTCATAAATGATCCATTGTTAGATGAAAACACTGGGAGTCTCTGGGCACCTTTTCATACTTCCCTTTTTGCTCCCAGCTGACTTCAGCTTTCTAATATTAACTATGAGATTTAAGATATTTGGCTGGAAGATAAGCAACTTACAATGTTTCTCATAAAATAATCGGTTAGTACTATATAACCTCTGCTTACGACTCACAATTCACTTGGGCAAGGGCAGGACATGCACAAAGCTGTGATGTTAGGACAGAGTGAGTTTTGTTACACATCACAGAGAGGAAGGGGAAAACTCAGCATAAGGATGCTCCATTCAGTGGGGCAGCCCCACATTTCCCATAGTATACAGTCTTGCTCTTACACTCTATGAAGCAATTAATAGCAGTGATGAATTGGGAATATAACAAGTCCTAAAAGTAGGGTTTTATATGCTCTCCTTTGTGTCTGTCCAGAATGGAGAATTCCACATGGTGATGGATCCCAGCGCTTGATCTAGAAATTGTTCCTTCTGCATTGCAATTATAGCCCAGAATGACTAATTTCCCTGTACTTGCAGCTATATTCACCATCCGACCTAATGAAGATCTTATCAATTAGCATATCTTGTCTTCCCTGTGGGAACACATGTGCTGGGAATGCTTTTTTAGAAGGTGCAAGAAAATTAGAAGTGACAAAATTAAAACAAGAAATGAAAAAGAAAGGGTGGATCAGCCAATCATGTGTCAATGCAGACTGTACACATTCTTCCTTCACCGCCATAGCTTAAACTGAAGGGCCATCCTGTAAGAAACGAAATGCTTTTCAGAGAGCAAGTTACCAAGAAAAACCAGAAGCCACAAACAAACGATGTCACATTTTCCCAAAATGATTTAGTCTCCAATAAGGTCTCCTTTGAGTTCTTTTTGAGAAAAAAAGCAGGCTAATACAAAAATAAATACCAGAAGTGAGAAAAAGTATGGTTGTATGATTTTTTAAAAATTGCCACTGCTTTGGTCCACAATACAAATCTTTTTTGTGATGGAAAGCAGGCAAAGATTAAAATACAATAGAAATTAATCCATATCTATGAATGTTCCACTCTGATATCCTGTTGTTACTTTCTTGAATTTGCACATGGTAATAGATTCAGTGCAATTTGAACATTAATTAACTGCCAATAATAAGATCAGACCTGAGGTTTCACTGTGGAAAAGAACTCTGCACTAAATTGGACCCTTATGTAAACAGAGAGCTGGCTTAGCCTTGAACAGAGAAGCATGCTCTGTGCTAATCAAAACCAGGCTGCTCCAGTCTTTTAATCCAGACAGACTTTGAAGATAACTACAGCTATTCATGTTCTAGTAATGTATCATCTGGATTATTATACATGGGGCTGCCAAATGGTCCAGCAACCTCTGCTGGTCCAAAATAGGGCAGTGGGATTGTTAAAGGGACTGGTCAATCTGGATGAATTCTGCCAGGCTTCCAGCCAGTTTCTAGGCCCAACTCAAAGTGATGGTATTAATTTTCAATGTCCTAAATGGCTTGCAGCCAGATTACTTGAAGAATCATTTCCTTCAATATATACCTACCCAGGCTTTAAGATTATCTTCACAGGCCTTTCCTTGGGTGGCCCTCCCCAATGTAATGATGAGGATGACTACTAAGGAGGGGGCCTTTTCTGTTCTGACATCCAGAAAGCCTTGCCTGAAGCATGGGATTCTTTGGATTCCCCTTCCCAAAGCCATTGCTACAACTTTGCAAAGGATGCATAAAGATCTAACTCCTTCCTCGCAGCCACCATGAAATGAACTACAACACCTGCTTTCCCAGGTGCAAGAGCAGCTTTGCTGGACTTTGTAAAGGGCGCAGGCAAGGAAGGGAGGAGAAAGGAAAGTCATTCCATATGTTTCTAAAAGGCACACATGGAGTTCCAGCCAAGTGTCTCACATACCCAAATAACATGCAACACCCTTCCTCATCTTAGTTCCCTTCAGCTGTATCTGAATAGTCTGCATCATCCAAAAGCATCCAGAGTTGAACTGGCACCGTCTTCTCCAAGACCGTACCCCAGACAGATATTAGTATGTTGTATCATCATCCTCTCTATTCCACCTTATAGCCAAAGCTCTCTGGGCTGTTTACAACAAAGTATAAAACAATAAAATAGTTAAGAATATTAGCAAGATTTAAAAATTAATTTAAAAGAGCATTAAAAGACCACAAAACGATGATTAAAAAGACCTGGTCAAGAATAAAAGAACAGCACCTAGATAATTGTGGCAGGCCCCTGAATGACCAGAAAGGTATTTTAAGGCTCCTGCAAAGGGGGCTGTTTTAACTTGGCGCTGAAAACACGGCAAATTTGGTGCCAGGCAGGCTGGAGCAG